AACTCAAAGGCATCAATCCTTCTTCTATCACCCTTAGGCATTGTCCAGCTCTTAGATGTATAGCAAGTAATTGCAAAGCTGTGGTCTGGATCAGGTGCACATTAGTCTCCAGAGTGACTTTGCTGCTTCTCAGTACTCTGTAGAGGTCCCTGACAGCAGGCTTTCCCAGTGCAGTGCCTTTTGATTTCCTGATGCTGGTGTTAAGAGTGTTGCTTGGACCCTGGATGGAGCCGCTCCTGCATCAGTCTGTTGTCAGGAGATGTGCAGTCCTCAGGGCGTGGTTTAGGAGCACGTGGATCGGTAATGTGCAGCTGGAACCTTTGTCTGCTTTTCCTGGGCCGCTGGGTGGCATCTAGGACATTGTTGGGGGCTGGTTCTGCCATGGCCGGGGCTGCTTTATCCTGACCTTCCAGACAGGGAGTGTACAACGTGAGAGTCTTGACGCTTTCTGGTGGGAGAGTAGCTGTTCCTGGGAGCACCTGGTATTGGCAAGATGGATTTTGCCTCAGTTGTGTTTCATGCTGATGTCCACCTGGTTTAGTAGTTCATCCACGCACAGGCAATGCCCTCGGCTGGTTCCGGCTCACAGTGGCTTCGTGGGCAGAGCTGAACTGTTCCTGGCTCTCAGAGGCTGTAATCTCTACAGAAGCGACTGCCTCATCTTTGTCCTTCAGAGAAGCGGGTAATTTCAGTGGAGCTTCCACTCACAGACATCAGATAATGAAGAAAGCTCGGTAACTGATTTATGAAAACCTGCTCATGAAAAATTTTATGCTTTTACGTAGTACCACCAGTGGACAGGAACTGTGAGAGGAATGGTTTTCAGTGCTTGTTAAGAAAAGGGAAGAGTGGATTCCTGGTTGGTCTCATGCTCCCTCTTCACCAGAGCCTAGTGTTGAAGCTCTCTCAGACTTTCCTCCAGAGGAAGGCTGGCACCTTGCTTCTGAACCCTCACCCTTAGCTGCCCTGTGGGTGCGGCTCGACCCCTGGCCGCCCTGGGGGGTGCGACTCAGCCCCTGGCTGTCCTGGGGGGTACGGTTCAAACCCTGGTCGCCCTGGAGGTTCAGTTCTTTTCTGGCGCACCATGGTTCCTAGGAGTTGGGGTTGCCAGCACTTTTAGAACTGTGTTGGACTGTGATTTGAATGCCCTGGAGGCGTCTGGGTGTCCTCTGGCTGCCCGGGCCTGGCATCCACGTGATGGCAACAATGTGCACACTCCCTGGGGTGTGAGGGCCGGCAGTTCACCGAGTGTCAGTGAACCAGCTTGAAGCAGTATTGTTTTCACTACCAGGAGGTTGGCATCTGTCCTGCTCACGGCTGGCAAGGGGCTCAGGTGAGCCATTACTTGGGGTCACACAGGTGCAGGGCAGGACCCAGGCCCCTGCTCTTCCAGGGCCTCCCCTTCTCTCTCCTTTCCCAGAAAGGAGGATTGTACCCTGGAGAAGGGACTCCAGCCCCTCCCAGACGTCCCCGGCTGCAGGCTCCCTGCCATGGAGTCACTGCTCACACTTGGCCCCATCTGATTTCTTAGGCTGCAAGTCACATGGGAGGAGACTGCCCATCTTCCCCTCAGGAGCCACTGGGGGAGGTGCAGCCTCTGGGCCAGCAGCTCAGCCCCACCAGGCCGAACGTCAGAGGTGCGCTCTGTGGAAACAGACCCGCTGCCGTCCCATCCAGCTCCCAGTGCCGCTGCAGTGCACACAGCTGCCCACAGGGTCTCCAGGGTCGCCTTTGGAGCAGGTGGTCACACCTTCCTTCCACAGATACCCTGGTGGGGCCAAACCTGTGGCCAGTGGCTGAGAGCTTAACTGCTGCACCCCCAGGGCTCTGTACACCCCTGACAGACGAATTAAAAACCCCTCAGACGCATTACTGTCGAGTGTGACCCAGCTCACAGCTGAGCCTCCGTCAGGTTTTGAGGCGTGAATCACGTGCAGGAGGTCGTCCAGCCTGCTGAGGGTGCTGCAGTGCATTGTGTCACCTGTCAGCCGGCTACAGTAAAACCTTGCCACGATACCAGCACCGGTGACGTGTGGGTGACGAGAATGCAAAATAGCGTGGTCACGTTGGAAAATAGTCGGTCAGGTTTGCCAAAACACTGCAGTATAATCCTAAAGGCACATGGTTCGAATCCAGCAGCTGCTTCGCAGGAGGAGGACAGCCATCTCCTTCTGTGTGTAGGGTCAGCTGTGGGTCAGTTCCCACTTGATGGCCCTCCACCAGCACTCACACCCAGCACTGTCTCTGGCGTTTATCGCTTAGGAGTGACAGTGTGTGCTCACACAAAAGCCGGCTCTCCAGCGCAGGGGCACAGGTGACAGTCTTCCTGTAAATAGTCACACTCTGCTGCTGGTGTCACGTTCAGCTGAGTTGATGCAGAGGCAGTGACCCTGCAGGGGGCAGAGCAGAGCTGCCCAGGGGTTCCCAGGGCTGTGCATCTAGACAGAGGCAGAGCGCCACGTTTTTCTTCCAAGGAGCAGATGACTGGTTTGAACCCTCATCTTTTTAGTTACTTGGTTAGTAGCTGAACACTTATCCACTGCGCTACCAGGACTTTTGCAGGTTGGTGAAGTGAAGTCCCCATGCAGATGTGTGAGGAGCAGCCCAGCCTCAGGTGGAGAGGGGGCCCTCAGGAAGGAAGGGCATGTGCATGGTCCCTGCCACAGCAGAGCAGAGCAGCTATCCCCGGCCGTCAGTCAGCTCAGCCTGGAGGCACGGGGTGGTCAGCGGAGCAGAGCAGTGGCTGTCTCTGACCGTCAGCTCAGTCTGGAGGCACGGGGTGGTCAGCGGAGCAGAGCAGTGGCTGTCCCTGACCGTCAGCTCGGCCTGGGCACGGGGTGGTCAGCG